ACACAGATGTACTCAAGTTACACTGTCACTGTTGTAGTTAAATAGAGCATGGTACCAAAGTGTTAATTACATGAGCAGTTTTTTAAATGGCTCCCGGATCAAAGCAGATCTGAGTATCTTAAAGACAAAAATAGTGGATGCTAGGGATCAGTGTTTTTTTACACAGGTTTCACAAGTGATCCCTTATTAATAATAAGAGTACTTTGTTGACACTGGCAAGCATGTAGATATAAGTGGTTCACTGAGTTCAAGATAGTTTGACAGATTTTGACAAGATTCCGCAAGGGCCATCACAGGAACTAAGCTATCATGACATAAGAGGGAATGACCTCTCATGAGATAGCAATAACAAAGTAAGGAAAATGGGGAAAAACACTGAAAAACTATAACAATCTTTGCTGAATCCTGTTTTGTACAACAATTACATATGAAACTTAGGATAAAACATAAGGTGGCAGTTTAATGATGATAGAAAGTATTCAGGATAATCAAAATAAGGAAAAACCACAAAGACTGGTAGAAAAATTACACAATATGGTATGTCTAGGCAATAAAATGGCAGAGAAAATCCAGGAATCAAAAATAATACGCAGAGGGAAAATATTATTGGATCTGCACTAGCTACTATTATCCCTGAAAGACTTATTCTGGATATTTCAATGAAAATATTAGCTCAAGGAATTGAAACAAAATGTCATTACATTATTGTATAAATGCATCCATAATGGCAACTAAAATAATGTTATGTATTTCTTATCTCTCATCTCCAAAAGGACATGGTAGAACTAAAAAAGACAGAGAAAAGTTTGACAAGATCAAAGTTGTGGGTCAGATTCTGCATGTGGACATTAGTAGGCTATGACTCTTCTATTGGGAAAAGAAATTACTGGGAGATGTATAAAATGATGTAACTGTAAAATCATAAATGGGTGTAACAAGTGAACATTAGGAAGTGAACGTGGTAAGTCTGGTTACCCTTCAATCACAGTTTGGGGGTACTGAGTAAATTTATCATACAGAAGTTTTCTGCATTGATTGGGATTTTTTTTGTCTGTTTGTAAATAGGAACTGCTTTTCCATGTGGTCAGTTGTCAGTTCAGAATATTCCCAAATCCCTGGCTGTTGCACAGTTTTATCCAGGGGAAGAATCACTGTATTCATTCTCTTCTTTCACATTTTTCCTCAATATTGCCTCTAATACATATAGGACTAGTAGCACATATAGCCCAACATTAAGGTCTACCCAAAATGAAATAGAAACTGTAATCTTAATTTTGTGTGGGCCTGCTAATGAAAACATTATATTTTTGCCAGTATTCTTTTTTTTTTTTTTTCCCCACCAGCCACTGCCCTCTTTACTACTTCTTCTCATTACCTTGCATCCACAGAGGTCTAATTAATGGCTACTTATTCTGTAGATCCTCAGAACATTCTCTGAGACTGGTGATTTCCTTGCAGTTCTCTGCAAAGCATTATTACCTAATTAATTTTCTTCTGTTTTCCTAATCTCACTGCATAAGGAAAATAATGGCCCTGCTTGACACGTTTTCTTTTATGTTCTTTTCCTGTTTTCTCACCAACTTCCAGCTCATAAAACTCAATGAGTATCAGTGGAATAAAACCCACCAATCTGGCACCCTGCCCTATTCTGTCATGCCCTGTTACCTACTTCTCTACGCAAGTGACAGATTTTCCACATGCTTTATTACATTGGTTGAGAACAGCAGAAGCACATGAGCTACACAAATAGCAGGTGTAAGACATTTTCATAAAGCCTGTCAGCTTTTGAGTTCAATTTCATTCTAACTCTCGTTCTCCTCCCAAATAGTGCAATATTTGATTGACCTTCAGAGCACACCGCAAGACCCAGTTGATTTCCCTAGCTGAGAGAGGATGGAGGGATTCTGGTGGGAAATCAAAGATACT